AGCCGAGGCCAAGTCAAGAGGCGGTCCAAAGGCCTATGGTCCTATAGATCACCTCCACCAAAGGTCGCACCCACAGCTGCTCCAAGCTACACAAGCTCATCATCGTCTGCTGCAGCCGGCCCCGCAAAGGCCAAACCTGCAGCAAAACAAATGCCAACATCGGCAAAATCATCTCGGCCTTCTCCCACGGACAAACCGCAACCAGCACCTCAATGGAAGAAGAAACGCACTGACTGATCCAAACCGGTAACGCTCAGCGAGCGCCCGGTACTGGTGAGGTCTGGGCACTATGTGGTGATCTCCGTCTTCATTGATGAGTATCACAAAGAATAACTGGTGAGAGGACTCTGAGCGAGGCCCTGTACAGGATTAGCTTAGTTGTTTTCTTTTCACCAAGTTCAATTCGAAATCACTATCCCAATTCGAAATTTCCAATCTTTTCTTTTGTACAAATGCCGGTAGCTAGCTGCGAAGCCAGTAACATTGTGGGGATTCCGATCCGGCAACACTCAGCGAGTGCCCGGTGAGGATGAACCACATCAGTAGCTAATTCAGGCACATGTACATCAGCGGAAAATTAATAAGTTCCCATCCTTCGTGTTCGGCAAATCCCCATAATGCCGAACATGGGGGGTGCAAATGGGGACTAGATGGGAATACAGTATACATACTTCCCATTGTACTTCAAGGGATTGACCGCCAAACGCAATGTTTGGCTCAAGTGCCCATATCAAGGAAAATCAATTGCGCTTCCGCTGCATGCCGTTGAAACGTTGGTAAACACAAACGCAAGGTATTCTGAAACGAGTTGAACCACATCCGGAACAGGGATCATTCTGTTCACATTAGCTATATATTGATACTACTGGAAAAGTACATATAGTTATTGGGATATAATCATTGGGATAACTATAGTAACTATATACTATATGGGATAGTTAATGTTTTGTTGATTAGTTTGGTGGGAATTGATTGCGATATTTTCTGTTAATTTCTTACTGTTTGCCGATCGGAACATCACCGTCTTCGTGATTAGGTACAGTTGCGCTGCCAGAGGGTAAACAACTGGGTAAACAACTCCAAATTAAACATAGACCATCATAGACCTCAAACATAAGATACATAAACTCGGGCTATGTATATATGTTAAGTCTGTTCAGCAACATATGTTTATTTGAATTGCCAGGGATAGATTGACAGAATAAACAACACATGTTTGCAGCTGGATTGCTGGGAACTGAGGACGACCTGGTGAACGGTAGCATAGCCAAGGTTATATGGGGCATATCCTCTTACATGACCCTTTCATAGGCCTTATATATGGTAGGTACCTCCAATTTATAGGTCTCTGAAATGGCCACTGGTGATTGTTTGATGATGATTTTTGGATATAGCACCAATCAAGAAACGTTTACGCTAACTGTTGAGATATGATCAATACTTGCTTGGGTTGTACTCCGGGGCACTGGTTTATTCAGCCCATATCAATCCACATCATATGACTGTGCGAAACAAAAGCTGATGATTAGGATTACAGTAGCTATGATCTGGTTGGATAGTTGGATTTTCTGCACTCAGACGAACCTGGGGACAGGGCGGGCAGGGAGGAGGTTTTACGTTTGGTGCTTTGTTTGCGGTTGCAGGCCGAATATGATATGACCCACTGTTGAATATTGGTCAGGTGACACTCCGGGGGCAAGAAAGGACTGAAAGTACTGGTTTGTTCATTCGATTTCCATACTGTATTTTGCTGTACAGGCTTCATATTTTTGTTCATATATTGTTCTACTGAAGGGCAAGTGGGCACATGTGTTGGCACACTTGTCACCATTTTGTGGTGGTTGGTGATGATGGCGTTGGGTTCTTTAAGTCATTTAATTGTGTAAGTGTGAGATGAAACGCGCCCAATTTGCAAAGACATTTGGTGAGGTACTACCAAGGATGCTTGAAGAGTGGAAAGATATGTATATTTACACACACACATATATATATATATACCAAGCATCAGCCATAATTCCAAGTCATCTAAGGAAAGTGGCTTTGTGGGCCCATTAGTGTCCGATGTTTCACCCATATACAAAAATACAATTTTCAAACCTGGGTAAACTGCCCATATTGGGGAATATTTAAGAAACCGTTAATGTAGATTTGTATGCCCTTGATAAGGATCCCCAGTATGGGATGTATATCAAGTTTTGACCATCGCTGGGGATGGACATGAGATGAGGCTCACCAAACTGAGCAACTAAGCCAAGGTGGGTGATCATCGTATCGTGGTCATCGGGACCTACTACCAGTGTAGCGTTGTTCAGGCACCTTGGATTAAAGCGAGCAGTGGCTGATCAGGCTTGAGATCATGTGATGAGGTCTACCGCCATTTCAACGGCTTGATGATAGATCAGAATGTGTAATTAATCGACTGGGTGGTGGTTTGGAACAGTTTTTTACTTTTCCATATATTGGGAATATCATCATCCCAACTGACGAACTCCATCATTTTTCAGAGGGGTAGGTCAACCAGCAACCAGATTATTAACCATTAATCATTATTAGCCATATTAACCCAACCATCATTAATCATACATATAGGAATTATTAGCACATTATTAACCACTATTAACCACTATTAATCACTATTAACCACTATTTGATCAATGGCGCTCGGTTGATGATGGAGGTCCCCCGACTGGGAGACGCTGGGATGGGCCAAGTACACCTCTCTTCACGGCCACTAAAAACCCTCTGGTGAACATACAAAAAGCTATGAGAAATCACCATTTTTTATGGGTAAATCAACTACAAATGGGCCATGTTCAACAGCAAACTGTAACAAATTACTAGAGGGTAACTCCCATCCCATCCCAATCACCCAGCACATCCCTTAAAGTTGGCACCCCAACCCATCGTGCCCCATCGTGCCAGGAGCTGGTGCATGGCCGCATGATGCAGGCGCAGCGCGCCGAGGGCAAGGAGCCCACCGGGGAGATCGCCGTGACGTTGTTCGTCCGCGCCGAGGCGGCCGGCGTCGTCATCGGCAAGCAGGGCTGGGTGCTGGGACGGGTGCGTCACGTGGCCGTAAACGGCGTGTGATAGGGGGCATGGGATGGGCATGGGATGGGATAGATTTTTTTAGAAATCGAATTTGACTGAAGTATGGGGCCTGAAATTATAGGTTATGATTATGGGTTGTGATGACTTATGAACGAATGATAACGAATATAAAAGTGATGTTTATTAAGTGGAGAAGTGTCAGCGAAGTGAGGAGTTGAAGTGTCTTGACTTTGGACACTGAGAAGTGATAAGTTGTTTGAGTTGAAAATTTGTTGGGAAGCGGGTCACTTTACATGTTTGGGAAAGAAGGAGATATATTTACATCTCACATCAGGTGGTGATGGTTGGATGATGGTAGTTGGATCTGCTTTTCTTAGGCAAGAAGCATCCACTTTTTTAAGGTCGGCCTTCCTCTGACTGCAAGCGTCTGAGGTAAGCAATCCGGTGCCAAGATCAACTTGCTACGGGAAGAAGTCCGCGGTCAAAGGCCTTGTATCATCGAGGGCTTTTTCCAGAACGTGCTTCAAGCTGAGCCTTGGGCCCGCCGAAGGGGGGCAGCTGCAATGTCCTGGACCCAAATCTGGCCCCAAGGGTCCCAAGGTCTGAAAGGTCTATGGAATGATGACATTGCAATGCATGTGATCATTGTGATCCTTTTTTTTGGGTCAGATGTCAAAGATATTAAAAAGTTGATGTCAAAGTTGAAATCCAATTATATATTTTCATTGAACGAAAAAGCCACTGCTTAAGTTAAACTGCAAGTTGTTATAATTTGTTAAATTTGTTATAGGCTATAACTGGTTAAACTAATGTTAGAGGTTAAACTATTGTATTTACATGCATTTACTAGTTTTACAACCATGTTTTTCTTCTTACTGGTTGAAATCCAAAGATATGTTTGCTAAACCATCCTCTTCACTTCTGAAACAATGTTCTTCCTGATAAAATTCAAGCTTCTACTTGTTTGAGTGCTCAAATCATCACCAACACTTTTTGGCGGCTAAAAAAGAAACATATTTTGGCCCAACAAATCCCCATATTCCAAGATTTGAAGGTGGGTGTTGCAGAACCCCCCTCTTCAATTTGGGAGCAAGGACCCGTTGGTTTGGGGATCAGTTTTCCCCTAAGCCAATCTATCAGCATCCCCACTATATCCACATGATATCCATCTTAACCTCATTTTGAATAGGTCCAACTCAGCAACTTAGCTAACAAGGGCATCACCTTGCGGTGTTCTCCCAACTTCTGGGGGTGATATGTCCCTTATGCCCATGATATTCCTACAATATTCCCATGATATCCCCAAGCAGGATCCGTAGGATGATCCTCCAGGAGATCCCATTAAGATACCTCTCATAACCCCACTACAAGCCATCTCCTTGAAAATCCATAAGTTAATAAACCCTAGTTCTTGGAGTCATTAAACCACCACCATATAGCGAACCACGGGGGGCACCGGGCACCGCAGCCCAGGAGAAGCACATCTTCGACCTCGTCACCGCTGTCCCCGTGGTGACCTCTCCGCCGCCGCCGCCGCGCTGGCCGCCGCAGCCGCCCTCCTGCGTTCCGCAGGCGCCCAAGCTGTCGCGGACGCGGCTGAGCGCCGAGCCGTTGAACGGCGTGGTGGTGACACCGGGCGCGGTTGGGGGGGTGTACGGGCAACTGGCAAGAGATGGGTGGTTAACTTTTGATACTAATATATATATATATATATGTGTGTGTGTGTGTGTGTTTAACTATCCAAAACCAAAAGACTCAGCAATTTACAAGGAATACACCCCTGAAATTTCATATGGAACCCATAAGTCGCTATTGAAAAATCATGAATAATCATGCTCCAAAGACTAGTCTTGGGGTTCCACGGGGGTTAGATATTGATATATATAACATGATATAACCCACCTCTTGTTGTGTTAGTTAACCCTTTTCTTGTTTGATGGTTTATACATACGCATAAGTTGCCCTGTCGAATAGAAAAGTCATGTTCGAAAACCTAGTTTTGGAGATCCATGTTCAATTTTGGGAGGCTAAGTACAAGCAAGAAGAGATGGCAGATGGTTAGCCCAGAAGATGGGTTCTAGGTTATCAAAGTTTTAGAGGGATACGAATAGCCAGGCATGTACTAAATTGTACCAACTCTGTATAAGAACATATTTGTGTATTTTGCCTAGTTCTTAGAGTCATAAATTGATGGGGCTTGGTTTTTTTTTTTTATGGCAATCAGCAAAGATGGGGTGAAACCCTGCAACTTTTTGTGGCAAATTTTGTGGAAGGCCACGATCCCAATGGATTTTCTGTTGGTTCCCTGTGGTTTTGCGCCCGGCGCCCGGCTAAGGACTTGGAAAGGTGCCATTGGATGGATTCAACCAGAGTACTTGGGCCTCTTTTTTTGGGACCTGCTTAGGGCGTCACAGCCTTGCCTCTATAGGGCCTTGCAAACATCACTTTTGGTGGTTAAACCATGGTTAGCCCTCCAAAAAACAAACATTTGAAGGGGACGTGTAGTATGAGAAACCGTCTCTTACTCCGGTGTTTCGCGAAGCCACCAACATGTGAGCTCATGTGTTGGATGCCACGGGTAGGTAGCACAAGTACCATTCCACTATATTCCACTTGTCATTGGAATTCCTGGGTGCCGACAAATTATGAAAAGCCAACCGGCTGACTGGCATCAGCCCTTGACACGGTCACCGTTGGGAGGGAGCAAGCCACTGGGGGCGCCCCTGATGAACACCAATTCATATGGAAACTACAGAGTTGGATCCTCGATTTGCTGGTTGGTGGTTTCAACAATTATATAATATCTTTTGTTCAAATAGAAATTGCCAGTTGTTTTTAACTGTTCTGATATTTCTTATATTGCTAAAGGGTAGTATTTCTTATATCTCTTATAACTATCCAACTGTTCAAAAGTAAATCACCATCTGTTGGATAGTGATCCCCAGCCGAGGCAGCAGCTGAATCACCCCCGGGCCTTTTCGCGGCAGGGACAGGTCTACATTCACGTGGCTTTGGCGGCATCTCAGAGTGGGGGGGCTATTGCACAGAATGATTTGCTTGTCCTATTCCTGAAATGGCTGAGAAATTTTCTGCGATGATTTGAAGCAGTTTCATAGTTTGTTCCTTAGCACTTATGATATACCCTCTGGTTATTTAACATAGCCATGGAACATGGCCCATAGAAATAGATGGTTTACCTAGTAAAAATGGTGATTTTCCATGGCTACTGTATGTTAAATAACCAGATGGTACACGCTGTATCCATTTCTTGCCATGATGCTGCTACCCTTTGTGTCGATGAATTGCACCATTCCTGCGCTGAGTATCACCAAGTAGTTATGTTCCAATTTCAACAATTCAATGCACTGGTTTCACAGTATCTCACCATTTTGGTGTTCAAACATCAACACATATCATCACTATAGACTATACCCTCTGGTAATTTAACGGAGCTATTGATAATGACCATTAATAGTGGATTTTCCCATAAAAAATGGTGATTTTCAATAGCTATGTTAAATTACCAGAGGGTAGACCCCCCTTTTTTGTGCAGAAAGAATCCACGACATTTCTGCAGACCCATCCCATCCAGGCGAAAGACGTGATCAACAACGAGCCGCTGACAGTGGGCCAAGCGGTGCGCTTTCATCTCTACGAGGATCGCGCAGGGCTCGGTGCGGAGCAATGCTATGCCATTGCCTGAGGCGCAGCTTACCGATGTGGACTACCGAGTTTACTACGGGGCAGTCTGAAGAAACACCCATGATGGTCACCAGACGGGGCAGTTTTTTTTTTAATGTCGGCCTAGTATTTTGGTAAATCACCAGTTTAATGTTGGTGTGTTTCAATTTTAAGTAATATGACTATACAAATATTTTGGGGGGCCCAGGGCCCCCCAGAATCAACGGAGTTTGTTGCTGGGGTGAAATTGCATATTCAAGTTTGAAAACCGGCTTGCCTTATGTTTTTTGATTTTGTTTGATCATAACAAACCAATCCCCCCACTATTCCTATCATTGAATTCCAAGATCTCTGATGAACCATGGCTTTCCCTGAGGAATGCCATGAGACCTGATTAAACCTGTGATTGCTTGAAACGGCCAGCAGTTTGTGACACACCTGTGGAAACCATCCCATGTGCTTCATATGAAGTTTCAGTATATCATGCCCCTAAGTGCCCCTAAGTCTCTAAGTGAATAGATCCTGGGTTGAACATGTGTTTCACCTGTTTTTCGCAAGATATTTTATATCAGGATCAAGGTTGCAGTGGAAACAAGGTTTGCACATGTGTGCAATATGTTTGGGAAGTTGCGGCGGCAGCATTTCCTGCAATATATATGTATAACAATGCATATATATATATTTGTATATATATGTATACATATAGAAGAATGACAATAACCATAATAGTAATATGTACACGCATTGTTTGTATACATCCTGAACAATCATGTCACTTCAGCTACTCATCATTTTCCGTGCCATTGACCAACTTTCCAGGCGTACGGTCGCAGCGGTGCTGCCAACAGTTTCAGGGGGAAAAAGACGCCGGCGTTGAGTCCAGGTTTCTGGGGTGTTTCTGTAGTATGTAGCAATCCTCTAAAAGATATATAACTAACAACAATGGGATACAATGGGTATTATGTTGGTAATTTTCTATCACATATTGGAAATAATCATTAATAACCATGATAATTCTTTATCTACTATGATTTTCAAGAATATGTGCTGAATTATAATCATTGCATTTTGAAACTGCTTGGCAATCTAGCATGTTTTTTTCAAACATGGGGGTTGGTTAAATATATTTCACCAACCCCAACCAGGTCCATAGAAAAAGTTGGAAAACTGGAAAACATAGACAGAAACATCATGGAACTACCATCCTGGAGACACGTTTGGACATATTCTTGTTGGGTTGCTATATTGGTGATGTGCCTCAACGGGGCCCTAATGTGGACTCAATGTGCTACACTGGGGACTTTTCAGGGTGGCCAATGACTATAATGTGTTAAATTGGACGACAGCATGTATTTTTAAGACACCATTAACATATAGGATAGATAGGTTACTGTGTGACTTGCAATTCTTGCAGCCGGCTAGACATCAACTGCAGGGTATTAAAGATCAGCGTCCGTTTCATGTCTGGAAGCCAGATTCATTGGATGCAAGCGTTTCGGGGACCATGGTAAGCCTCCAATTTCAATCAATGTCAATGGCGCTATAGCCTATAGGGCCTAGATCAAACCTTCAAACGTTCAAAGCATGTTCTGATTCTGATGAGCATTGGAATTAACGAAAGAACCAGTTTTTTAATGACTTTAGCCTTCAGAGCATTTCAAATCTTCGTAAATCTTCCATTGAATTGGTAAATTTCCTGGTGATAAAACCGTCAAGCCCATATATCATTCTAAATTCGTTCCACCCTCCAATAGACGAAAAGATATGAAACCGAACCAGAAGAGTTCGATCAACCTAGCAAAACCATAGGTTTCCCAATGGATTTCAATAGGAATCCATAGGTTTCCCATGGTTTTCCCATGGGATTTCCCATGGCTTCCCCTTCACCGGTGCCAGGTGCAGGTCCATCCTGGTGGGTCGAACCGACCTCACTGGCAGCGATGCTGGAAGTCTGCCAGGGGCACCTGGTAAGTCCCTGGGAAAACGTGGGTTTTTTCCATGTTTTTCCCATCTATAATGATATATATCTGGGTAAATTATAACGACCTCACTGCGACCTCACTGGGAATCATGGTTAGTATTGGAAATCATCCCCAAATGGCCTTATTTCAGGTTAGTGAATTATTATAATTTACCCAGATATATATATATATATATATATGGGATAACCATGGATGATGATTATTGACTATATCAATATTGGGATAATTATATCATGTATTATTATTCCATTTAACCAGTAATATCCATTAACCATCATATTATTATATAATCTGGTTGGTAGTTTCAAACATGACTGGATGATTTTCCATTTCATATATGGGATATATAATCCTTCCCATTGACGAACTCATATTTTTCAAGATGGTTAAAACCACCAACCAGACAATCTATGGTAATAATCTATAATCTAGATCATTAACCATATTACTTGTTATAACTATGGCTGGGAATCCTTTAAAAGTACAAAGCACCATACCAGTGAGTGGTTGGCAACTGGTGAAGGGAGTCACGAGGTGAAATTGGGGTTCAGTTGGGGTTATGTTCATTAATAGAACAGCTATGGTAAGAACCTCCAGAAGTTGGGATATGGGGCCCCTACAACTATGGTGAAGATATTGCTGGATGGGATGTCGATGGTGATGTTAATGGGATTTGATTGAATAACCAACAATAGGGATAATGGGAATATCATTCTGGATAATTTTTACTGACAGCACGCATGGCTAGTAGCCGGATATTTAAGGGATACCCTCTGTTAATCAAAAATGGCATGGGATATCCCCGAGCCTTATGGAGGTTTCAATGGGAAAATCATCCATAAAGGGCAGAATTGTCCATTGCGATATTCGATTACTGGAAGGTAGCAAAGAGAAAATGCCAGAGAGAGAGAGAGAGAGAGGGAAATGTTGGGTTTGTTGGGAATGAAGTGGTTTAATTGATTTGCTGCAACTGTGGGACAATCACACAGGGTAAATATGCCATAATTACGCATGTTGGGATAATCATATTATATTATCATGGGGCAATGGTGATAATAACACATATGGAGATAAACATGCCACTAAGCGAATGAGGAGAGAATTACTCACATGGTAATCGATGTAAAACAATCTCAAATCAGGGTAATTGGAGTTTATTGCTGGGTAATAAGGGTATAATAATGAGGTCCTAATCGCAATTTCATAAACGAACCGTCCCCAATTAGGGTTTATGAAATCGGGTATGCCCCAGGTCCAATGGGTTGTTTATTGTGACCTCCACGTGTGGTTGGTTGCTGAGACATTTGAGCAAGCTTACAGCGTTGGGGTTGACACATAAAACTAGTTCCACGATTTGATATTTTGATATATTTTGATATGATAAATTATGATAATCTTCCCCAAAAACACCATTAACAAAAATCCATGATTTTACGACCAAGACCAGCACCCCAGCCCACTGTATCCGCAGCCTTTCAAGGTGGCATTGTGGTGGCGAAAGCAGCTCGGGTGGGATCTCAGAATGGACGTCGATATGGACGTCGATATGGGGGTGCGAGACCACTAAGTGGTGAAGAACCCATACTAACAGGTAACTTCTGGGAATGTTCCACATATAATTGGGGAATGATATGGCATTAACAACCATACTAAGTGATAATATTTGGGGATATGTTGTAGAGACATGGATGGTGAAACACTCAGAGGAATTTTGGAATAACACCAAGTTGACGACGACTGACTTCACAACTTCAAACAGAAAGTGGATGTGGGATGATGTGGGCCATATGGGTCAAAGGGATCCCATCGGGATAGTACTGCTTGGGCGACGACCGAAGCCTCGCCTTCCGAGGTCCTGTGCTATTGGACCAGTGTTCTGTGTTTCTTGGCCGCGGCTGACCCATTTTCACCAGCTGATAAGACAAGGCCTAACGCTATTTTTTCTTATAACAAGACCATACTGGATGCTCACCAAGTACTTGAACAGGGGACGTGGCCCACCAAGAAGGACCCAGGAGCACCACCAGAATGCCTCCATGAGAAATGTCGGGAAGATGAACCAAATTTGAACGCGTGGTGTTGCCCATCTCAGGAATACATGTTCTATTTTCCAGAGGTCGTTCCTGCACTTTGTCCTTTCGAGTCGGGGTTTTGTAACATTTTGTAACCCTCTTTTTGGGCATCTGTATTTCTTTCCACTCAAGGGTTGATCCCTTATTTAAACCCCAAGAGTGGTATGGTGAATTGCTGATGGTGAACCTCCTGGCTGCTTGGAAAACTACTGGGACGATGGGTCTGCCCGAAGGGGGGCAAACCCCTTCTACAGTGCAGGTAATTCACTATAGCCATGAACATTCCAGATGATCTAGCATCACCTACCCATTATTTCCACGATCATTTCCATGATTACCAGAGACTACACCCAAAAAATAAATAATTAAATACCTGCCTAAAATATTATCCAAACCATACTGAAGAATCTTTTAGATAGTTTTAGGATCTTTTAGGGGTCCCCATTCCATAGTTTTCGGATGTTTTGGGCAGGGCCCATCTGCCCCAACGATTACCGAGGTCTGGCAGCCTGGCTCCGAATGGTGGCCAGGTGGCATCCCCCGCGGTGCTCGCGTCGGTGCGCTGCGGGCTGGGATCGGTGGAAATGCGCCATGGTTTCTTGGGGAGGTGAAATCCAGTGCTGTGGTAAACACATTTTCTTTTAACAGTATGATATGATAAGAAGAAGAATAGAACCCTCCCCCCCCAAAAAATAATAATAACATCTGATAAGAAGAATAGTGATAAATGTTTAACCATGGTAAGGATAATGATGATAGACGAGGGATAATAATAATTAGTAAGAATCAATATTATAGTATAAACCGTCCCCAACGCCATAAACAAGTACCATTTGGGGATGGTTGAAATCGAACCTACAAAAGGGTGATTTTGGGGATGGTTTATGGCATGGGGTTTGCCACGATCCTTTGGTTTTCAGCCAAGTCAACTGGGTTGGTTGGGTTGGTTGGTCTGGTTGGGCGGTTGAGACCATATTAACCAATAAGATATTGTTTTGTATCCAGGCTAGCAGCCCCGGCCATCAGTTTTCAAAACGTTGGTCTTGACATGAGAAGATCCCACAATTCCTGCACTTGTTTCCATGGTGTTGGTTTGCTGACCTTTCCATCAGCTCCTTCATTACTGAATTTGAATTTGGACAAAGTTCAGGCATCAAATCCAGTAAAGCAAAAGAAAGAGCAGCATGTTACATGCAACGCATACATGTCAACCTTGCAGCATCCTCACTTTGGGATACTACAACTTGAGACGCCAAGCCCCTGTATGGATAGGCTTACGCCATGCTCACTCTGCCTGGGCGTCCCAGCCTTGCCGATGCCTAGGGAAAACCGCTTCTTAGATTGGCCATGGAGTACCATGGAGTAGCATCCTATCAAAGCTGGAAAATCCACAATTTACAGATCATTTCCCCATTGAACCTTCCATTATCTTCCATTGTTTAGGGATGTTTAGGGGATTTTACAGTGCCATGTTTCAGTACCATAGGGTAAGATAAGTGGCAAGTGCATTATATTTCTACAGATATAAGCCCACACTATATCGAGCTATCAGGGGATAAAGCTTCGAGAAAACCCAGTGACTAAGCAGTTCACTATCTCCATGGCGGCCCTTCACGTAGAGCTTTCCATTCCCAGTTGCATATTGGTCGAAATTCAAGTCCTCGTGACCCATAAGGTTTAAAACCGCACACATCCCATTCGTTGTTTTCACTCCTTTGACCAATCCCAAGTTGTGGAAGGTTTGGGTGACGATGAGTAATTTCTTTTCAGCGAATTGGGTGCCCAAGATGATTCCGTCAACTGAGTTGTGCCCAAGATAGTTCACAAGTTGAATGCCTCGTTTTTTGCAGAACGACTGAGCTGATGGCTACGACAAAGATACCCTTGTCATATTCTTGTCATGATCCACCAAGAAGAGGGCAGGTGCTATTTGTTTGCTAGTGTTTTCAACCTCAAATGTACGACATTTTGCGGCCACTTTGTGTCCGGCGGAAGATTTTGGGGGTGAAGGGGTTCCCTTGTGCCATAGCGACTTCTACCAACCCGACCCAAGAGCTCCAGCCAGGCGGTCTGATGGGGTCACTTACCGGTGTCCCAAAAAAAGGCGATCCATGAAATAGATTGAAATAGTGGTTTAACATGGTTTTATAATAATAGGACACGTTGACCCATTGCATTTTGGGGATAGCCTATTTTCAGACAAAGCCACCCAAACACTTTGTTAATTTGAAACGACCCTTAAACTGAGACGTTTTCGATCTATATCTCTTTCTCCCGATGGTGGCTTGTTCATTGGGAAACCTCCAAGTAATGAGCTTGCCAATGAAAAGAAACCTGATAGATACGACAAATTGTAAATAATGTTCTGTGATTTTTTCTGGTATACACTATATAAGATATATTTTTGGTGTAGCATGTGTCCTATGAACGTATCAAGCTGATCCAAAGCCTTTTTTTCTCAGAAGGATATCGTCCCAAGAGAGCAGGGTAATGCCTGGACGGCTCTGGCGGCCCTCAGAATCCTTTGTTGAGGCTGTGATTCTTCATTTCATTTCATTTCCTCATGGCTTAATCGACCATATAATATATGCAGAAATATTACTGTATGGTTCTTTTTTTGGAGGGAGGGTTGCGCCTTTTGGTTCGCAAATCGTACGCGTGCTGAGGTGGGATTGCTTCGCCCCAAGCATTCGCAAGGGCACCCTGGTGTGCTGCCCCAGAGGGTTGGACAGGTTTTTTCTCGGTCGAGGAGAGGCAGTTGGGGCAGGCTGATTGAGAACCCCACTAGCTGAGATGTGGAGATATCATTTGGACAAACTAGCTGTCTTTGGTAGGAAATCATTGCATTTGTGATCATGATGCTGTGTGGCGTGGGTGCAAGCTTCAAAACCATACCTAGCAAAACATGTTTTTGTTCATGGATGTGAATGTTAGGTTGAATTCACCCAATTTCTTTCTTGTAATGTACATGTATATGCAACCCACCCAATGGTATATAGCTGATAAATGATGATAACTATACATCTAAGGCGGCAGTCATCCGTGCAGAGGCGCCCGTGCGTTTATCCATTGGGCATTGATGGGGTGGAATGGACATAAAACCAATGATTTTGGATGGTGATTTCTGGATGACTTGGATGATTTCAATGATTTCAGATGATTTTGGATGGTGATTTGTGGAAATAGGGAAACCAGAGATTTAAATCTACCCATATACCTATACCAACTATCATTTCAATGAGCTCAGAAACTCATCCAAAATCATCTGTTTCTGAGCTCTTCGGAATTCAGGATGATCCGAAGTCGGTGGCCCACCGCCCCAGCCCCAGTGACAGCCGCCGCTGCTGGAGCCGCGCATCGCTCCCATCGCAGGCCAATTCCAACGCGATGGTGGCGGGAGATGGGTCTGGGTCCCAAGGATCCCAAGGTGTTGGGCCTGTCTGAAACTAGGTACCCCACGATTCTGATGGTTTATCATCAATTTCCCCATTGAAATTGATATAAAAGAGAGTATCTCATGGTATAACTCATTTTTGAGACAAATATCTCCATCTCATCTCGTATGAAAGAAGTACGGATACAGTAAACTAGATGAAGAACATATAGATCAATATAATAATGTATAATTTGTTTGTATCTATAGATTAGATTAGAAAAGATTAGATTAGATAGAGATAGATTGGATTAGATTAGATAGATATAGAGATAGATAGATGGATAGATGGATGGATAGATATACTGGTTGGAGATTTGGAACATTTTTTAATGTTTCATCCCAACTGACGAACTCAGATTTTTCAGAGGGGTAGGTCAACCACCAACCAGATGTTGATCATGACCCATGTGGAAAATAGATTAGAGATAGATTAGATTAGATTAGATGGATGGATCGATCTACCTAGCTATATATATATATATATGTAGATTATATATATATATGCATATAGTTAGATATACACATCTCCCAATTTTGCGGTCATCGCCCCATGTCCCCAGGCCCACCTTGGGTTGGCCCGGCTGGTCCACGAAGTCCACCAAGTCCGCGAAGACAAGGCATGCGAAACGGCCCTTGGTGGATGGTATATGGGATTACCCTTTGGTAAACATACCAAAAACTATGGAAAGATCCACCATTTTCAATGGGTAAATCCACTATTTCGACTGAGCCATTTTCGATAGCTATGTCACAAATTGCCAGAGGGTATGGGATTAAACTAACATAACTATGGAAAATCACCATTTTCAATGGCATTTGATGGTATTTGAATGGGATTTTATAGTGATTCAATGGAAGAATCCATTTACTAACCAGTTTTATAATCCATTAGTTAACTTGCTGGAACTACATCCCAATTACAATCCATTTAGGAAGCATTTACCCTCTGGTAAACGTTTACATAGCTACTGAAAATGGCCCATTTAGTTTGTTGATTTACCTATTACAAATGGTGATTTTCCATAGTTGTGTAAACGTTTACCAGAAGGTACCCAAATTACCCAAATGTATTGGGATTGACCTTGTAATTTGGTATAAACACACTGATTCCCAACTGGTATTGTATATCCAAGATTGTCAGAATCAGTTGGGATTGACCTTAAATATAATATATATATATTGTATATATTAAGGTCTATGGTGATTGTTGTTTTACAATATAGGCTTCAATGGTTGAAATCTGAACTGGGTTTATGTCGAACTGCTTGGGTTTAAATTGGATAGAATGTTCAACATGCATTGTTGAAATCTAACACACTTTATCATATGTTTGGTAAGTATTGAAGTCGCCATTTAAGGTGGACATCAATAGGGTGGTTTGCATGTATACTGTGTATATATATATATATTTATTACTGTAATATAATATACTAGCATCTGGCAGGTACTGTATATGTGCCAGTCCTGATTGAACTCCAAGCCCTTAGGTGTGAAAATCCTCGGTGCGCACCTGGTCTAATAGGGTATAAGTCTCCTTCACTTTGTACTGACAAATTTTTAATCACAGGTGCCACCACACCACTAATCAGACCTTCCGGCTGCAGGACTGAGTATGCTGGTGGAGCGTCCATCGGACAAGGCATGGCCACCGCCAAGCTTTGACCCATTGCCCAGCCGGTCCACACTCATCGTATGACTGCAAAAATAAGAGGCCACCAACGGTGTTTTCCATGTACTCTCCGGTGATTAAAGATAACAATTAGGAAATCCGCCACATATATATATATATTTATTTATTTATATTTATTTATATCTATCTATATCTATCTATATGTATCTATCTATCTGTCTATCTATTTATCTATCGATCTATCGATCTATCGATCTATCGATCTATCTAATCTATCTATCTATCTATCTGTCTATCTATCTATCGATCTATCTATCTATCTATCTATGTGTGTGTGTAGATGATTTTCCCATGAAAACCTCCATTTATAGAGGATTTTCCATGGCCACGTTTGATGACCAGCGGGTATCAAATTTCTCTTGCAGAGGCTTCCCACATGTTACTCATTTCATAAAGATAGCAGAACTTGCACTGCATATTACTGCATATGAAAAATATGTTCATATCATATCCATATCATTTCCCAGGTGTTGCAATGACACAAATCCAACTGCTAGTTTGCCATTCTGGATGGTTGCTGCATTCGATGTTTGCTTCAGGCATACGATGCATACAAATTCTCTTAAGCATACCTACAACTGCCACCTCGTGTGGGCCTATTTCTTGAGGGGTCGTTTTTGAGCATGTTTTATTTGGGGGCATACATACATACCATAGAATGATTCTTTGATTAAAAGCAATTCATTCTATATATTTCTGTGTTTGCTGGTTGCATTCCCATTACAGATCCCATATGGATTCAGTGGGGAGCAACAAATATCATATTTGTTGGTCCCCACTGAATCCCAATTTCAATGGGATATTTTACAGATACTGCATTCCATTACAGATACCATTTGTTGGTCACTAGAAAGTCCACATTTTAATGGGCAATTTCTCCACCTGCACGTGGAGATGATGCGAATCATGTGAGGCACTGTGGCCTGGATGGATGTGAGTGGTCGCTTCGCGCCAGGGATCCCCAGTCGCCCTTAGACGACAAAGTGTAGAGACCGGCAAGTTAAAAATGACTTGGCCAGGTAGCTTTGCAGGAGTTTTGAACATGTTGGCCATAGAAATAGCTGATTTACCCATAAAAACATGGTGATTTTCCATAGTTATGTTAGTTTACCAGAGGGTATGAGGTCCAATGAGGTCCATAGGTTCCATGGTAAATGGATGTGAATAGACTATTTGGATCTATGTGGGCAATTATGTGGGCAATCTGGAAATATCAGGAACATATTTCATGTGTCTCTGGCAACTCCAAGTGGAGCGACGCGGAGGGGACACGATGGGATCATGGATGGCATTTTCCTCAACATGTCTGAGGAGTTATCCCCACCTTATCTTTTCATAGGGAAAATCATAGGAAAGCACATAGATTAGTGCTGCAGCTAGCACATAGAGACGATCTCATACCAATCCAATGATCAACGAATGGAGATGGGACTTCAACCCCAGAAATGCCGGGAGGGCAACGATTGAAGCTCGGAATCCCGGCAGGGACGTTGGGGATGTTGACCCTCCGGTAATCGTTCTGATGGGAAAATCATCGAACGAAATGGATCTTCCATTGCCATGTTTGATTACCGGAGGATTTAATGGCTACCCTCTGGTAATTTAACATAGCTATTGAAAATGGCCATTAATAGTGGATTTTCCCATTAAAAATGGTGATTTTCCATAGCTACGTTAGTTTACCAGAGGGTAACTCCCATTCTTTCCACAACTATCCAAGGTTTGGGATTCATTTTGTGCGTCAACAGCCTTTTTCTTGGTATGCTGCATCTTTGAAAACATCACCAGCGTCCGAGTTCCACAACTCAACGGTGAGTGATGAGCATAACAGGCACCTCAAACAAGTGGACATATCCGAGGCGAGTAGCGAGCTCACTTCATTATGGATCAGCAGGGCTACAAGAACAGTCTCATAGTCTCATAGTATTCGTTTGATAAAGGTAAATTGATGTCAATTGTGTTGCTGAAGTCCTCAGATTGCTCAGGTATACTATATGGTACTATCACTTCTTGGGCATTTAGATGTTTTGTTCCACAAATTTATTTGCTTCGTTTTCAGGGAAGTGCAGAGTTACATTCTTCAGCTGAAATTCCGACATCCTCATATCCACATCCAAGAAGAGAGACTAAGTGGGTTGACCCTCCAATCCCAGATCTGGTTTTCAAGGGGAAATCGACAAGAAACCTCAAACCTGGTGGTTGGAAACCTAAGTGATCAGGTCTGGACACCATTTATCATAGACAATAAACCATTAATAATCATTAGCATTGTGGAAACCCATCAAAACAATGGTAACAACTACCTGATGGCTTTCCTAAATGTCCCTTAAACCTAGTGACTCCAGGTTTCTCAGCTGTCAGATTTGCCATTAAGAATCGCTGCTGATATCGCAATTTTCCTCTATTTGACCAAGGATATGTTTTGTTTTTCCCGAATGCGTAGCAAGGGTTCCCGTTTCACTCTGGGGGTCTGGGGGTTGAGAGTGTGTTCGCTCGACGTTGCGTCCGCGTCCGCAACCGTTCGCAACCGTTCGCAACCGTCCGCAACCGTTCGTACGAACTCCGTATGGCCGTGCCTATATGGGAAGTTTTGCAGAGGTGGTCATTTTTGGAGGTTTCAGACGTGTCGTTGCTTCGTTTCGCGTGGCAGGCGTATGCAGGCGTGGCACTTTGTGACATTCAGACGTGTTTTGCAACGTGCTGAAAATCGTTTTGCGTGGCAGGCGCAATACTTTTGTGACGTTTTTAGAAGATGTGTTGCAGTTTTCGTGGCAGGCGCAGCACTTTGGACGTGTCCGTCGTCATTTTTCGTGGCAGGCGCAGCACTTTAGACGTGACGTGTCCTGTTGCGTGTTTTTTGTAAATCGCATTGGCAGGGCTGCGTCAAGTGGCGACAAGGTGCAAATTCCGTGGCAGGCGTGGCATTTTGTGTGATGTGCTGAAAATTGACGGAAGCCTCGCACGAAACATCGATTTTGAGGTTGCAAATTTTCAGGTTCTAAGGAAAACTCGTAGGAAAACGTCGATTTTGAAGCTACAAAGTGTAAAAATTGGAGGAAGTCTCGTACGAAATGCTCGTTTTGGTGCTCCCACGTGTCTCGTCTCGCGTCTCTGGTTTTCCCGTGGCTTCGCCGTGTCTTTGGGGGAAGCTGCAAAACCTGTCCTTTTGTCATGTTGCCAACTATGAAAATCGCCGGAAGTCTCGTACGAAATGATCGTTTTGGTGCTCCCACGTGTCTCGTCTCGAGTCTCTGGTTTTCCTGTGGCTTCGCCGTGTCTATGGGGGAAGCTGCAAAACCTGTCCTATTCGAATGTGTCCAAGCAGGTTGTCATGTCGTTTTGCGTGGCAGGCGTGGCACTTTGTGACATTCCAACCTGTTTGATAATGTGTCAAAAATGTCAAAATTGGAGGAAGTCTCGTACGAAATGCTGATTTTTCTGCATCCACGTGTCTTGTCTCGAGTCGCTGGTTTTCCTGTGGCGTCGCCGTGTCTATGGGGGAAGCTGGAAGATATCTCCTATTCGAATGTGTCCAAGCAGGTTGTCATATCGTTTTGCGTGGCAGGTGTGGCACTTTGTGACATTCCAACCTGTTTGCTAGCCTGTCGAAAATATCAAAATTGGAGGAAGTCTCGCAGGAAATGCTTGTTTTTTTTGCACCCACGTGTCTCGTTTCGAGTTTCTGGTTTTCCTGTGGCATCGCCGTGTCTATGGGGGAAGCTCCGCACTCCACACTCTACACTTTACACTCCACACTTTACACTTTACACTCCTCACCCCACACTCTACACTCCACACTCCCCACTTTACACTCCACACTCCACACTCTACACTTTCCACTCCACACTCCGCACTCCACACTCCACACTTTACTGTACACTCCACACTCCACACTTTATACTTTACACTCCTCACTCCACACTCTACACTTTCCACTCCAGACTCCACAGTCTACACTTTACGCTCCACACTCCACACTTTACACTCCACACTTTACACTCCACACTCCACACTTTACACTCCTCACTCCACACTCCACACTTTACACTCCCCACTCCACACTCCACACTTTACACTCCACACTTCACACTCCACACTCCACACTCTACACTTTACACTCTACACTTTACACTCTACACTTCACACACTACAATTTACAAACTCCACACACCTCACTCCACACTTTACACTCCTCACTTTACACTCCACACTCCTCACTACACTTTACACTCCTCACTTTACACTCCACACTCCACACTTTACACTCCTCACTCCACACTCTACGCTCTACACTCCTCACTCTACACTCCACATTCTACACTTTACACTCCATACTCCACACTCTACACTTTACACTCCGCATTCTACACTTTACACACTCTACACTCCCCACTCCACACTTTACACTCCACACTCCTTACTTCACACTCCACACTCCACACTCTACACTTTCCACTCCACACTGCAGACTGGTAACAAGGGAAACATGTACAAGACTGTTCAAATAAACTATTGCAGAAAGGTATTGTGCGTGACTGCATAACCATGTGTTTTGACATCTGTACCATTAACATACGTGTGAGCATTCGGGTTCGTGGGCTTCATCTTGTTTTTAATATATATATATGTGTATATATATATATATAAATTTACAACGGCTGTTATAGCACATATCATCGATTGTATCCTCACTATACATATCCACTGTGTATTTCCACTACATATTTCCACAATACATTGCCACAATATATAAACCTATGTCATATTATGTCATGATAGTTCCAGATCACATGTCCACTATGTATATTTCCACCATATTGTTCTACCATATTGCCCAGTATACCATGATCTCCCAACCCCTCAAGGGCACGTTCCAGCAAGGCCCCCTGCTGGTGCCCGCTCCGTGATGCGCGCGCAGCGGCCGTCCTCAGCATCGCAGTGGGGGCCCCCGTCGACTATGACAATTTCATGTGAACATTGGGAGATTTTTGGGGGATTATCCAAGAAAAACTAAAGTGGTGGATATGTGTGGATGCGCCATTGTGACCTTACCCACTATCCAGTTTCTTTTTCCAGCGCCTCCACCCCCTTCTTAATCCTGGAAGCGGGATGGGTGGGCCAGTTTTCTGAGTAATCCTTCAGACCACATGATTTACATGTCTGGATACACAAGTCCATATCATATCCAAGACAAAAGTGGCAAGTATGCATTCTGGGCCACATGTGATTCTAAACCTGGAGGCACTCCAGGTCTTAGTGATTCTTCACATTTAAATTGCGCCAACACATAGTGTTTTTGTTGATGCACCAGATTTACACAAACATGTGAAAACAATGCCCCGAAATTCGTTAGTTCATCATAGTTTAACTCCAAAACGGCATGCAGTTTGAGGTTTGGAACTGGAGGTGGGAAGTTCTACAGATGAATCCTCTGAAGAGTTTGGATTTGGGCGTTTGAATGTAGCATCTCAGAGCATCGAAAACCATTTGGGGAAAGGTGTTTTACTATTTGTTGAGATATTTATAAACAATGGATCCAATGGATATTTGGGCCGGGTAATGTCTTTTACCCAACAATAGACCTACTATTTGGGGATGGTTTACATCATCCAATTTGGGTCTTATTGGTTGTGGTTCATGATTGGGATCACCACATGAAATGGTATGATTTCATGCCAGGAACATTGAATTTCCGCTTGGGTCATATTGAAGTCATTTTATGCAAGCCTTGGAGTAGCCCTCCAAATCGTGCTCCCACCAACTAAAAAATTGTTTCTTAAGAGGCTATGAGTCACAATCAACCTCCCTTCAGAGCTTGTTCAACCCTATTTTGTAATGAGTATTAACATATGTGTTTCAAAAAATGGTGAGGTAGGATACTTCATGTTCTTTCATATGTTTTTCCATGGCCAGATTTTTCTTTTGGGCTTCTTCTATCCCCATGAGATCCCCCCCACCCCGGCCTCAGGTCCTTGCAGAACTGGCCCGCGGTGAATTGGAACACCTCCAGGGTGGGACCGTGGAATCCACCGTGGGAGTGGAGATGCCTTGGAGCAGCCACATAGAAGGGATATTCATGGCTAAACCATGATAAACCATGTTTCATAATACACATATATGGAATAGATATATCAAACATATATTAAGATTATCTTAATCATTCTTCATGTATATCTATTAGGAATATCTGTATATTCCTATATCCAACATCGTTTGACATGACTAGGATCGAATATGGCACGGTTACCCTCTGGTAAACCAACATAGCTATGGAAAATCATCATCTTTAGTCTTTAATAGGTAAATCAACTATAAATGGGCCATGTTCAATAGCAAACTGTTAATTGAGAAATATCCCATTAAATCACTATAATATCCCATTAAATCACTATAAATTACCAGAGGGTACATGTTATGCCACGCAGGGCCGCACGGCCTCCACGACCTCGCAGCTGTCGGACCGGGACACCGAGAAGATGCGCGCCTCGTGGGGGCCGCCGAGCTTCGGATCGATCTTTCTGCCTTTTTTTTCTCCATGATTCGAGGACGATCGTCTACCTATGATGGCCATCAATAGGGATTCTGATGGGATGGATACTCGATACCCTCTGGATTTAATGGTGATTTAATGGGATTTTAGAGGGATTTTATGGTGATGTTATGATGATTTAATGGGATATTCATGGGTTATATATCCTCTGGTTATGACTAACATAGCCATGGTATAGATGGCCCATAGAAATAGATGGTTTACCTATTAAAAATGGTGGTTTTCCATGGCTATGTTAAATTACCAGAGGGTATATATCAGTGATATGGTTAGTGATATATCACCGTTATATTCCTAAATTACATTATTCAACGTTATATATATATATATATCACTAACCATATCATAAATTATATATAGTTATATTTAGTGGTGAAATGGTTAATTATATAGATCTGGGTAAAGTATAACGACCTCACTGCGACCTCACTGGAAATCATTGTTAACAAGGGAAATTATCCCCAAATGGCCTTAATTCAGGTTAGTGAAATATTATAATTTACCCAGATAGATATTCCTATACTTACTCTAGTGATACGGCCAAACACTGTATATGGTTAGTAATTACTATAGTGGTATGGTTAGTGATATGGTAAGTAATTACTATACGTATATTCTAAGATTACTATATGGTTAGTAATATGTTTATATATATATTGCCCAAGGGTTAGCAATGGTTGGTAATATACATATATAGAGCAATATATCTTAGCAAAAACCAAGTGGCATAACCATCATAACCCTAGGCGATGGTGCAATGGTTAGCGTCGGTTAGTAATTAATACTGTTTGCATGGTTGTGAAGGTCTATTGGCTAAGATCGCTAACCATGGACACAGGCAGAACCATAGGCAATATTATGTCTATATGCCATTGTCAAAGATCGCGAACCATAGATAAATGAGAAGAAAGATCACTATATAATTAAGACTTTAGAATATGGATCTATTAAAATGTTAATATATATATATATCATAATTATTCTATTAAAAGAATATTGATATCATAATTAATCATCACTATATAAATGTTTTAGGGGGGATATCATGGATATATAGAATATGATGGGAAAACATGGGAAAACACTATAATCAATCACTAAGACTTTGGGGGAGATATAAAATGGGGATATTTACCTATAGACTATAAACTGGAAAAAAGCACTAAAGTGCTGTAGATATGGTCATCATTGGGCAATCCCACCTGGTCTTGCAATGGAATATCCCACTTCCAGGAGAGAAATTCACGTGGACAGTTTCAACGGATATGGGGTTGTCTAATACCTAAAAGTCCATTTGATGATCATGATGATGATGATGATGATGATATGATGATGATGATGTGGATGATGATGATGATGATGATGATGATGATGATGATGTTTCTCACGGAAAGGTACGAACACGGCATTTTTTTGGGGTGCTTGCCTCATGTCAGGCACACCAAAAACACTCATATTGTGGATTCTATCTCCCATTACATGGATTATATCCGGCCAAAAAATGCACTATATCTCATAAAATATCCCGCCACTATTGCCAGCATTGTGGTACACCCAATGCCATAAACCATCCCCGAAATTCGCCAATTTTATTGGTGGTAGTTGTACAAACTATCCCAATATCTCCATGCTGATTGCTTAAATCTCCCATTGCCAGGGAGGGGACACCCCCTGGCCGAGGCCCCCGAAAGAAGATCTGAGTGCTGCACAGGCAGGGTGCGCTTGGCAAATCCAGTGCTTGGCAAATGGGTTATACCCTCCAGAAAACATACAGAAGATGTGAATTAGACATCCTTGGGGAATCCGATTTGGCAAATATCAAGTGCTATTTATTTCCTTCCTGAATTACTCGCAGCAAAATGGTTAAAGAATTTGTAGAGCCTGGCTATATAATTATCCCCTAGACATCCCTAGACCATTTCTGAATATGATCCAATAGCCTCATATCTAGGTCAATCTTAGATGGGTACTTTAATCCTTTAGTCTTTTGGTATCAATGGGAATATCTACTAACCAGCAAAGAATTTATTTTTTTTTGCAGGGTATCTAAGATTGGCAATGATATGATCCTCAGCCTCATTGACAGAAGGGTTTCTTTCCGCCACAAAAAGGGCGAATCTTCCAGGACTCAGGCGATGCCGAGGCAGCCCCTCAGGTGGCACAGGGCCTAGCCGCAAGCCATGGGACCGGTGAACGAAGGGATCACTGAAGGGAGCTATGGCCTATGGATGTCTATGGTTTGTCTATGGTGATCTATTTTCCCTATGAAGAAGCCAAGAAGATACTAAGAGTTTCCCAACCGCAGGATAGTATTTTGCAAGAATGACCTATCTTTGTTGGGGATCTTATATTTTTTTGACCCGCCAGATGTCTAGCTTAGGGAAGTCTGACAATGGTTGATCATCAAGCTTGGTTTGTTGAATGTTGGATGTCAGTTAACGTGATTTGCAGGATAGGCCACAATTCAAAGCCACACCTGCATGCTTATGGGAGATCCATTCAAATTCGCTCGCCCCCCCCCTTTGATGTACATGTTAGCAAAGATAGACAACATCTTTGACTTTGCCAGACATACGAACAGATATCGCACATGTGTATGATTTCGTATTGCAATATGCAGATGCATGATTATGATATGATCCGGGTAGAAGCTGTCCCTGCTTTTGTCTTTAGATCATATTCTTTTTGGGGATGGTCCATTAATTCTCTCTACCCATTCGTTGCCGGCAACTGAGCCTTTTCCTATGCCATGCCCGTCCATTCCCAAGGAAGACACAACCGCTGGTGAAATGCCGGCAGAGGACAAGCTCGGGGGAGCTCGCATCCTTTGCTGGGGTACCCTTCAGTACACTAACATATTGGAGAATCACCATGTTAGATATATAGGTAAGTCAATTTTCATAAACGGACCATTCTCCATAGCTTTGCTAGTTAACTGGACGAAGTATGTTTGATTGCTTGCCGCTGAGCGGCTGAGTGCTTTTGGTTGGCAAACTCTTAGCACCAGTTGATGGTTGATGAGCTAGTAACATCACGAAGCTGTTTAAATATCAAACAAAGCAATTTCAGAACAATGTTCCACGTTTGTCAGTATTCTTCAACTGAACTTTGCAACTCATAAAGGATCCAGATTTACCAGTTGATTGCATTTCACCTGGCTGGTGGTTTCAACAAAATACATCTTTGGGATGATGATCCAAATTGAATGTAATATTCTTTGGATGGGTTGAAACCACCAAACAGTTGTGATCTTCATCAGGTCAAGTGTGTATAGCCATAGTCACCACTTTCTTCCTGCAGTCGTGAACGCATCCCACCGTGCTCCATTAGCAAGGAGCCAGCGCAAGGGCCAGCGGCTGAGTGAGGCTTTCCTTTCTCTTCCCGAGGGACCTCAACCACCTGAGACGCGTGAGTGAAATGTTGAGGAACATTGTTTTTTTCAAACATTTTTTTCAAGCTAGAAAGTGGTTGACATAGCGCCTGTTGTTGGTTAAACTTCGGACACTGGATGATTGGAGACTTTGCCAGAAAAGGCCTTATATTCAGAGGCAATGACCATGGTTTCCTGCAAAATTTGTAAACTTTATGTCACCAAAAGAAAACCCATCGCTGAGCCAGTCACTTTCAGGTTTCAGGCACCCTCATTAGATCCAGGCGGATCTCAGTTAGAAAGCGGTTCTCACGCATGTTCTATCACCTGGCTATTATATATATATATGCAAATTGTATAATATAGTCTATAGTGTAGTTATTATACAATACTAATTCTATTTATACTACATTTGCCTCTACATTTATCGGTATTTATGTTTATGTACACATAATCACGCTTTCATATATCCATATGATTCATATTAATATTTCTGTACTTTGAGAATGCAAATGGAATAATATGGCAATATTTTTTTGTGATCGAATTTCCTCCACCTCCAGTCATAAATCATATATCCATATGGATAACTGGAAATAGTTAAACATTGTAAATATGACTTGTGGACGAAATATTTATCTCACTATATTCATCACTATACATAATATGTATATACATTATGTTTACCATAAAATCCCATATATCATATACTGTTTGGTAATTTGATTTAAACAGTTTGCTATTGACAATGTCACATTTACAGTTGGTTTACCCATTGAAAATTGTGATTTACCTAGAAACAAAATATGATGTTCCCCATTTATAGTTGGTATGGCTTTGAAAAATTGTGATTTTCCATACAGGATGGCCCCCCCCAGTTATAAGTTGGTTTATAAACCATGATAACCACCATTAATTATAGTTATATCTACCATAAACCATTGAATTCAACCACTTATAAACCAACTGAATGCTATCTTGGGTGCCCCAGCCTGTAGCTTTTTGAATCACAAAATAAATCCCATTGAATCACTATGAAATCCCATTCAAATACCATCAAATACCATTGAAAATGGTGGATCTTTCCATAGTTATGTTAGTTTAATCCCATACCCTCTGGTAATTTGTTACATAGCTAATAGCTATCGAAATGGCCCAGTCGAAATAGTGGATTTAATGGATTTTCCCATGAAAAATGGTGGATCTTTCCATAGTTTTTTGGTATCTTTCCCATAGGGATCCAGTCACAGCTCAGCTAAGGCCCACCGGTGAGGCCATGGAGACCGTGGAGGAGGAACCTGAGGCGATGGGCTGAGCAACAAAAATGGCCATGTTCAACGGCCAAAAATGGTGGTTTCAAGGGCCAAGATGGTGGTTGAATGGAATCGAAATGTGGATTTAGTATGGTTTAAACATGATTAAACATGAAAGTGTTTGATCATTGGGATGATTACTAGAATGGTTGTGCTAGCGAATGTGTATAAACATGATTTGATATGATTTGACATGATTTCACCAAGAACACATGGTGACTTGACCAACCCAAAGTGGGGACCGACCAAAACAGTGCTTCAAAGCCACAAAATTTAAGGGACTCTGCATGCGGCCAGCCTTAGGTGATTTATATATAATTTGTCCAGCAAACTATCAAGAAGTTTTATGGTGCTTAATGGGGCTGGTAGTTATACAGTTATACCATGTTATACCCCACTTAAGTCCCATAAATCCCAGTCGAAACCACCATGGATCATCGCCCTGAAGTCACCATGGATCGGCCAGGAAGATGCCGCGAAGGAGAATCACGTGCAGTGGCTCAGGCAGGGTCTTGGGCCGGAGAACTTGGTTTTGGATCAAATTTTTCAGGGTGATTTTTCCATGGTGATTTCATGGAATTTAATGAGGCTGCTTTTTGAACCATCAACAACGCTGTGCGTATCAAGAATTGTGCCTGTTAGTGAGTTTTGATACAGTAGTTGGACCCTTAAGCCAACTAAAAGTCTTTATTCTTTTAGGAATGGGTTAGTTATATGGAAATATATGTTCATCAAACAATTTCCCCGAGTAGTTTGGAGCAGGATAAGAATATGAATAGCAACCTGACTATATTTTTTGTATAGGTTGAAATTTGATGCCTGTAGGCGCACCGGGGATGGAGTGGTCATTTGTTGGGTGTTAATGAGCCATATATGTTTGGAGGCACCCAAGTGTGACCCCATACCGAGCCATACCCAAATGCACTGAATTTCTTGGTTCTCAATCCTTCACATAATTTGCAACATGAACCTAATATAAACGCATGCAAACATGTTTGAAATCACCAGCCAGTTCATTGGTACATCAAGCCCTTTTTGCTATCATCACACCCTTACGATCTGCCATGCACTCTCACAAGCCATGTGTTCCTTGATTTGGATCCCTGGAGGATAGTTTTGCTAACCTGCAAGTAATTCTAGAGTTCCACTTTTGGAGCCCAAAGAAAGCCCCAATATTGAGCCAGGGAACCACAATTGCATACCTTTGACTTCAAGACATGCCAAAAAAACACGGATCATATGCTAGTATACTTGCTTTCATTTGGTGCATCTGCTAAGTTTTTTTTGATATTCACCATGCACCTCCACCATCTGTGCTATAAGATACAACTACATAGACACCGTTTGCGACCGGGAGGCTGCGCATGGAGAATCCGGCGACCTTCGGTTCTGAGGCCTTTGGGGATGATGTTTCCTCCATGGCGACATTCTCCCGCACCCCCTGAAATTGATAAATGATTCATGGTATTAACCAGAATGGTATTCCACATTTAATGGGATATTAATGGGATTTATGGTGATTTAATGGGATTTTATAGTGCTTCAATGGGATATTAATGGGATATACCCTCTGGTAATTTAACGTAGCTATGGAAAATCACCATTTTCAATGGGAAAATCCACTATTTCAATGGCCATTTTCAATAGCTATGTTAGTTTACCAGAGGGTAACCAGAATGGGAGTGAGAATTCCACATTTAACTCCGTGGTAGGTTGAGTGGGATTTTCTGGGATTTTCTGGGACCACTTGATTGGAAGAGGCGGATCGCATCACGTTGTTCGAACTCCTCCAGATGCTGGCCGTCAAAGATGCGCACAAGGAGGACAGCTTGGGAACGTTGGAGCCCTTGGGGCAACGTTCGCAGAAATTTTGAGCTCAATTGTGCAGATGTTCACAGGGTATAGCTTTAGAAAATCTCCAATTTCTCACTTTGTGAAGATATAAGCAATATATATTTATATAATATGTATATACTATATATATATATATGTATATATATACATATATGTATATATATATATATTATATGCTTCCCACAACATGTGAATATGGGTTTTCCCTGGATTTTACCTTGGTTTTCACGGTGTTTTTGCTGGATCTTCGCCGTTCCAGCCAGGAAGTGCTGGACAACATCGGCTTGGGCGGTCCCATTAAACATCTCGACACTGCCTTGGGCCTCAACGGTGGTGGCTGCTGGTGGCTTTGCTGCTTGGATTTTGGGTTCCGAAAAAAATGGACGGAAGATCCCAGCTGCCAAAATTCATAATTGTCCGTAAAACAATGCCATAAACCATCTCCCAAATCACCAGAAATAGGTGGTATAAACCATTCCCAAGTGGGTGGGTACTTTTCATGGTAATTTTCATAGGCATGTTGATGTTTTGTTGATGTTTGTGTTGATTGGGTTGATGTGGGTAATATTTACCAATATTTACCAATAAAGATAGAGAGGAAACCATTTACCACTATTTGAGTACGGTTTACATTTCTATGTCTTTTGGGTTGCTACACTGTTATTTCGGATTGCCTTGTTGTTATGCTGATTGAGGGCTTGAATCCAATGAGATTGGAATTGCCGTTTGTCAGCTACTACTTGAATCAATCTGTGATTTATAATATTTATAATATATAATATATAAGATTATATTAGATTTACAGGATCTAATTCTGAAGGTTTGATATATCTATATAACTCACATATATCTATATAACATGGTTTTAATCACCTAGAATCATATTCAATGTAAGATACTTTGGGTTTTGTAAAAAGTTTTGTGGGTCAATGCTTGCCGTTGCACCCAAAAGGTGTACCTCCGAGGGCACACTGGCCTCTGGACTGTGGCACTTGTGGGAG